ATTATTTAGTTTTAAGTTATAACTAGAATGAAAAAACTAATATTATATAAATATATATTTAAAATATAATAATGTAGGACTTATATTTTACAACCTTGTTCTGAAAAAAATTGGGATGTTGTGTAAAATATAAAGAATTTGCAAACAAATTTCATAAACAATCATTCTTATTGGAACATATTAAACATAGAAATGGTGAAATTTAGAAAATGCACAAATTTTAGTGAAAAAATATAGTTTTGCATTTAATGGCAGCAACATATTTCTTACATTTTCCACTATTTGAAACATTTTGTAGATCAGTAAACATATACTTATTACTTTAAACTCACTTTATTATTTGTTGCTGCCATAAAATTCAAAATTACTTAAAAACGGTACAAAATATTGATCAAACATTTGATATGTTTAATGTGTTCCATTATCAATAAAATGAGAAATCATGAGGTTTGCATTTTACGCAACAATCTAACATTTTTTGGAAATAGGATTCTATTTTTGCTGGTTTTCTTTTTCTTTTTTTTTTTTTTTTTTTGTCCTCCGTTTCCTGCCAGGCTGCGAGGAGCTCGCCTCCCAGTTCCTGTCGCAGGAAATTGACGGACAGGCGTTGCTCCTGCTGAAGGAGGAGCACCTCATGTCCACCATGAACATCAAGTTAGGACCAGCCCTGAAGATCTGCGCTCACATCAACCATCTGAAAGACTGACACATGTCAGCACCCGGGTCAGACATGGAACTGGTTCTGAACTGATGACAGACCTGCAGGTGAACATTTCAAGTCCGATTCATTTTCAAAGCAAAACCCACTTTTTTCTAATCCGACCTAAAGAAGAACTCAGCTTTGTTGTTGATTTTCTCACTGATTTATATCCTGAAAGTTTCATTTTTGTTACATTTGATCCTGGCTACATGTAAAAAAAACAAGTTTAATGTCAAGCTATATTTATTTAAAGTAAACTTTCTGAAGTAAAAGTTGTTGCTGTTCAAAACCCGACCTTAAAATAATGTATAACAAAGAACCTGAATGTGTTTGCAGTTAATTAAACCCATTATTTTTCATAAAATAAGCTCCTCTTTTGTTAAACTGAGGTTGAGCTAATGCAGGTTATTTTATTAAATCTTTTCTTTCAAGTTAATTTTAATCAGAAGTCATAAAAAACTGTAATATTC